ACTTTGAATTGCCTATTATTGTTGCCTTTACTTTTGGTTTTGTTTATATCAGCAAGGGAAAATTCCTAATTCTAAATTTAGTTTAGAGGCAAAAGCATCAAATATTTAATGATTTTGAGTAAATAAACACAACTTTCTTAAAAAAAAGCTGTATTTTAATTTTTATTATATACTTTATTCTTTTGTCTAATTGTAGATAATCAAGACACAAGTTCGTTAGCTGATGCTGTAGAGAAAGTTGCAAAGCAACAACAATCACAAGCATCAGAGATAGAAAAAAACAAAAAAGTTCTGTTCAATTTGAAGGTAACTTCTTTATATAGTCTTTTAAATGTCTTTACTTTCTTTAAAAGTAAATGACCAGGAGGTTATTAAAAATACTTATTATTGGGAGTCACTTTTAAAGTTATTCTCTGTCAATTATTCTGTTCTCCCTAAGTAGAGTTTACTTAGGGAGAGTATTCCAGTTTTATGGAAAATTTTACACTCCCAACATATAAAGATTCAATAGTGTCATTGCAACTGTAGGATAAGCATATAAAACCTAACATGTTAGATAGAATTATTTTACATTCCCTTATTTGATAGTTTTTCCTAAAATGCTGAATTGAAGGAATGTTAAGTTTTAAGCCAGTGTTTGTAAAGCTATGGATTGTGAGTTATTTGTTGTCAGTGAACATTTCAAGTAGCCTCCCTCTATGTTCCTTTCCTTTTTAAATATATTTATAATCCTACTACAGGGAATTTGGGAGCCATACTTGGTCTTCGCATGCAACATAATTAGATATAACTATGCTATGTGAATATGACTAAAGAAATGAAAATGAAAACAGTATCTTGTGCTCTGTAACGATTGTTATTAAATATATCATAGAAATGAGAAGAATAGGCTCAGGAGCTGAACCGCCTAGTTCAAATGGCCAGATTTACTACTTCTTGTTCCGTGATTGAATTTGTTGTGCTCCTGTTTCCTTAGTTGTAAAATAGAGATAACAATAGGACGTGCCCATAAGCTTTTCATGAGGATTAAATGAGTTAATGTGTTTGGTGGGGACCAGGTGGACATGGTACTGGTAGGGCCCTATTTGACATTGGCTTTAAGTATCATTGGCTTTAAGTGCATCAGCAGATACATGATGACAATAATTGTAATATGTGATATGGATTTCTTATAAATATTTGTATTATGTTAGTCACTTCTAGAAAAGAATACAGCTATACAGTAGAATGTAATTAAAAAACTAATGTCATAGTTTTGTAAAGAAATTATTTTGTAAAACTTTTCAGTCTTCAAAGAGTTTCATAGACTTTATTCCATTTATATTGAGAGCCTACTTTGTGTTAAGCATTTTGCTGAACATTGTCTTCTCTCTTATGTTACTTACCATCTGTTGGGAAGACAAAGAAGTAAACAAATAATTACATGTAGAGTAGTAGTGTCAATGATAGAGGCATGAACGCAACACAGATTTAACACTAGAGAGAGAGTGATCCCAAAATAAATGATGTTTCAGTTGAGTTTTAAATGGCAGCTGGAGTTCATCTGAATGATTAGGTATCTAGGACAAGTTTAAAGGTTAGGGAGTAAGGAAGATAATATTCAAAATAAAAAGGACCTAAGGATATTCACAGCGGATATTTGCAGAGGCCTGAAATAGCATTGGTACATTCCTAGAACCATAAATAGTTTGATGGTAAAATAAATTACAGTACGTTTTGAAAAATCATGGAAGATATATACCACGATAAGAAACTTCAACTTTATTCTAAAGTTGATGAGAAGCATTTGACAGATTTTAAGCAAGAAGCAAATAATTAAATTTATATTTTAGAAAGAATTCTAGATACATAAAAAGCACTTATTATAATCCAATATCCATTCATGATAAAAACTCTCAGCTAATTGGAAATAAAAGGGAACTTCCTTAATCTAAGGAAGAACAGCTACATAAATTCTCTAACCAACCACATACTTAATGGTGAAATAATGAATGTTTTTCTCCTAAGATCAGGAACAAGACAAAGATGTCTCCTCTTACTTCTATTCAAGATGGTACTGGTAGTTCAAGCCAGTATAGCTATGCAAGTAAAAGAAAAAAAACTCATTCAATTTAGAAAGAAAGAAGTAAAGCTGTTTTTATT